ACACAGAATATGCAACTGTTGAAAGTGTCATATTTCAAAACAATATAAAAGTTAGTCATTGACAGAAGGTTTAGCAATAAAACTTTAACTACAATATCTAGCTTATAATCATAAGATATGCAGCACTTCCCAAAATTTCAAAGTCTAATTGACAGAATTTTCAATGTTTTAGGACGGGACATAATATTTATCTTATCTTAACTTTATGGTTATCTGAGATGTTTAAATTGAGCTTTCTCTTGTTTTCTGTTCACAAATTTATGTAAGTGATCTGTTTTGTCTACATCCACTTTTTTTTAGTAATATTTTCTTTTCATAAATAAAACAGATACATAATGTCAGCCAATTAAAAAAAAATCATTGTCAAAATTACCTACTTCAAAAAACCATACCATGCTTCATACCATCAAATTATACCACGGTATAGTAATTTGTACCATACCATCATAACATACCATGGTACCATTCACGCATACCGTGGTATGGTGGTATTCGTACCATACCACCATACCATAACACATACCATACCATCGTACCATACCATGTTTTACAGTATGCCGTTGTACACATTTATAGTGATGCAAGATTACTTGAATTGTAACAAACTCAGAAGTTTTTATATTTTTACGATGAAAGATTAGGATAGCCTTGCTGTCAATTTTAGCAGCCTCTGGTAGTCCTTTGAAATATATTTTGAATACCAAGCTGACGATTTACAGTGTATTTATTATCACAGATATTAACAAGTTGCAAAACATTCTCTTGACGGTGTATGTATCTATGTCTTGCGTAGCTATAGGCTAAATTTCATTGCGATTGAGAGATCTTGACGATCCATGCAACAACCAGGACCCTTTATTCAATAAAAAAAAAAACAAAGAGTACGCACGCTGGAATGTCTTGCCTGTTCTGCTTATCATGATTGAAATTTTGTTAAAAGACTGTAATATGAAGTTTTAACTACATTAAACATCACATTAACTTTACATAATAAAAAAAATATTATAAATTAAGGTAAAAGTGAGATGAACCCTGCCGAACAGAAATATGCACCTTACAGTCATTCTATATACCAAATACAGTTGCCCTATAGCATATAGTATTTGATAGACGATCAAAACCATAAAAATAAGGTCATGGTCAGATAAACCCTGCCTGATAGACATGTACATCTTGCAATCATTCCATACACCAAATATATTCCATCATCTAATTAACAGAAAAAAACATGAAAATTTAATATTGACAAATGGACCATGAAAATAAGGTCAAGGTCCGATGAAACCTGCCAGAATTGTGCGCCTTACAGTCATTCCATACACCAAATATAGTTGACCAATAGCTTATAGTATCTGATAGACGGACAAAACCATGAAAATGAGGTAAAGGTCAGATGAACCCTGCCAGACAGACATGTACATCTTGCAATCATTCCATACACCAAATGGAGTTGATCTATTGCTTATAGTATCTGATAAACGGAACAAAACATGAACTTAACATTTACCAACGAACCATGAAAATGAGGTCAAGGTCAGTTAAAACCTGCCAGACAGAAATGTGTATCTTAGTCATTCCATTCACCAAATATAGTTGACCTATAGCTTATAGTATCTGATAGACGGACAAATCCATGAAAATGAAGTCAAGGTCATACGAGACCTGCCAGACAGAAATATACACCTTACAATCATTCCATACATATAGTATCCCTATTGCTTATAGTATCTGAGAAAGACCAAACTGGAAAAACTTCACATTGTCCTGAACAATGAAAATGACGTCGAAGTCCGATGAAACTTCCAAGAAATAAATGTACACCTTGAAATCATTTAATACACCAAATATAATTGACTTATTGCTTATAGTATCTGAGATGTAGACCTCACTAAGAAAACATAACCTTAATCACTGTTCCATGAAATGAGGTCGAGGTCAGTTGAACCCTGTCTGATGGACATGTAGACCTTGCAAGAATCTCATATACCGAACATAGTTAGTTATCCTATTACTCATAATAAGTGAGAATTTCACATGACATACAAAATCTATTTTTCAAGCAGTCGCTGAACAACGAAAATGAGGTGAATGGCAATGGACATATTTAAGTTGGAAAGTTCGTAACATAAGGCATCTGTATACAAGGTTTGAATCATTCAGGTCTTCTACCTTCTGAAATATAAAGCTTTAAACAAATAGTTATCCTTATGTCCGACATTCTGCTAATTTTGTTGCAGAAGAGACAAAAACCAGTACTTTTGGTCCTCCATACTTACTAATGTAAGTAAATGATCTCTTTTGATATGATCTTTATCTTCAACACAATAAATTTATGGAAATGTGTATAGATAGTTGTTGTCATGTTGTACATTATTTTGATTAGATTAAAATGCGACATGTATTTGTTTCTACTTTCCATTTATACACATTTCATAATGATCTTTCTTGATGTCTGTATCTTTATTTGTACATTTCTAGAATGACCAATTTACTGTATTAATAATCAATATCTTATTTTATTTTGACTTTTAAAAATCTGTATATCAAACCAACTGCTAGTAGCCTGTTTAATATTGAAACAGCCAATAACTTGACATTTATTTTGTAAGAGGTTCATATCCCAATGGAGTTTTTGCTCAACATTATAGGATTAAACACATTTTTTCTAGAGGTTATTGATGTGTAAACCGGGGCGATTAACTCACAAACTGAATAAAAGTCCGAAGGACTTTTATGTTAAGTTTGTGAGTAAGAGCCCCGGTTTACACATCAATAACCTCTAGAAAAAATGTGTTTAATCCTTATAATTCTTCAGTCAAACATTCGCGATTTTTAGTTAAGATTTTTTGTTTGATGGCTACTACCATCAAATGCACATGTCGTAACTAAGGAGTTAGTCGCCATATTGAATTTCTAATATCCGTAAATGTTCGATAAATGCAACAGAATCTAAAATGAAATAGCACCTACCTCAAAAACTGCATTTTAATGAGATATTATCCGAATTTGAAGCGTACAAGTAACGAAATAATCTTTCGCTTGAAAGTTTTCATTTGTATGACGTCGTGTTTTGCCATGACGTAAATGCGCTAAATCATTCATGAAATTTCGCGGAATTTTTCATGAATTTTAATTTTATGCATTTTCAGAGCTTGAATGCAATATTTTTTTTTGTTACATATGCATTAAAATAGAAAAAAACTGTTATGTTTTTTTTTTTGCAATCTCAATTTGCTGAAAATCCCGGACTCCCTGCATTTGCATGTGTATCGCGCATGAATAGATGGTACGAAAGTAGTTTCGGAAACATGGTTTATCGAAGTGTAAACCAAGGTAAAAAATTCTAATTAACCAATCCGTTTCAAGTATTTATAGATATGCAAATCATATAAGAATTATTCAAATTTATCATCTTTTTTCTTTATAAACAGTGCTTAGACTCCATTTCAAGGCAACAAGACATTCTGTATTAACATTAACAGAACCATATGTGTATTTCGACAACTAATGTCTTAGTGATGCAACATTAAGTTGTTTAAAATTTGTTATATGTAACTGAAAGTTTACCTTTTCTGAATGTCATTCACTCAATTATTTCCGGGGGAGGGACAAAATTATCCAAAATGAAGGAATGTAAGATAATTTTGACTTGTTACAGGCTACCTACAGATCCCTCGTATTGTTGTTTTCAACATACAGAGTTATACTTTCCCTAATTGAGGCATTGAATTAAATGACCCAATGCTGACAAAACATTGCTGCATAATTATACAACCTGCACAGCGAAGTGTTCACAACTTGAAGTGGACCATACATCTCAGGAAGAACAATGTGTACTTAATGAAATGTACCTAGTCAACAGCATAAACACATTGAATTTATTCTACTGGAACCGGTCAATATGATAATGCACAAGTATGATCAAACTTCCATTCCCTAGCATACTGTGCCAAAGGTATACCAAACTTCCTGCATTACAACAGCATTTTTAATGTAATGCTACTTCCTAGATGGATACTAATCATCTAAAACTTTTCTGGTTTATAATTAATGGGCTACGTTTTCTAATGCCCTACTAACTGGACCATATTTGGTTTATTTAAAATTTCTTGCCATAGTTGGTAATAGTGATATGAATAATGAATTTAGGGAATAGAGACAATGAATACAATTTGAATGTAAGACAAAAAACACTCAGAATTAATATCTTCTTTATATTTTTAAACATGAACTTTGTCAACAATATCTTATCACAAAGCTAGATGGACCACTTACAATACATATAATTATTTTAAAATTTGATATCAGTACATTATTATCTTAATGATTTGAATCTGAACGTCTCTGTACTTTTCTTATGTTAAAAACTGTGAAACAAACAACAAAGGTTCTGAATTTGTTGATGTAAAAGTTCCACATTAAATGCAGTCTCTCAAAAATAAAAAAAACTAATAACTGTATGAACTTTGTGACAAAAGACTGGCAGTTTCTTTTTTTTTAAATACCACCAGGAGGAAAAGATGAATTCATTGATCTTTCTATTAAAAGACTGAGTTTCCTTTTGTCATACCACCATGTGGAAAGATGTAGATATTTTCCTTTCAGATTTATCAAACTTGATTCTGATCGAAGCTTTGTGTAAAATTCCATGTGTTTTTCTTTCATCACTAACATTTCTGTTTAGTTTAATTAAACAGGGAAAAAATCAATCTCATGCTTTGCCTATGTTGTGAACTTATAACTAAGAATTGAATTATACAGTAATATTCAGAACTGTCACATTAGTTATGTTTAAAACACCACACCACAACTCATCACTGAATATAAGCCTTGTACATCACCAGAGAAAATCTAACACGAGTGTAACAGTCAAAGGCGCCTTGAAGCATTGACCCCCTAAAAAAAAGAGGAAAGGAAAAAAGGGGGTCCATGCCCAAAGCTCCTGTGGTAATAGTGGGATACTCTAGGTTTACTAAAACCATTAATTACCAAAGCTCTGATTTGTCAGTGCACACTAAAATAACATTTTTATTAATTGTAAAATTCTTTACACAATAATACAAAGAAATTTGTCAATACAACAAAGCAGTAATAAATGTGCTGTTCTTTTGATCAGGTTTTGTCATGTTCACTTATGAATTACGTGTCATGAATAAATACACCATATCCACTCATTTCAATAATAAAGAAGACTTCTTAACATAACATTTTTATGGTCAATAATTAACAGATTTGTAAGCATTCTTATATTTTCTGCACTTTTTCAAGGGTTAGATATCAACCTTTTTACATTGAAAACGTTTTAAATATTATTAATTTGAAAACTGAACACAGATTATTTTTAATTCATCTTGGGAAAAGTGATAAAGCCTAGATTCATTTCAAAGATTTGTAAAATAGTTTCAATGCATTCTTGGAAAGCATTGCTTTATGTATTAAAAGAAAATGGTTGTAAATCAAAAAAAAAAAAAAAAAAATAACAATGAAAATCATGTTGTTTTGAAGTTATCACAATATAAAATAAATTACAATAGTAACAAGAAATATCAGTCTGCTATATAAGGTTCTAACAAAAACTGTGAAAAAGCCTTTATCCTCTCAACCCCTCTCACTTCCTCTTCTTGTAGTGGTAGTTTTGTTACATTGAAATCTTCATACAGATCAGCAATCTGTTAAAATATAAGCAATATTTAAAAATTATCTTGTTTAAAACTTTGATAACCATACTGCATTTGAAGATTTGCAATCATCAATTGGTAATTTAAAGATTACAAATTTAATTTACTGGCCTCTCACTCTGTACAAATTTAGTTTACTAGCCAATTTGCATTTTGTGCGAAAAGGTTGAAAATCTTTACAATGGATCATTGATGCAAAGATATGACAAAGATGACATGGAATTTGGAAAAGAAATTCAAAAATTAATTCTCATTCATAAAGCCTAATAAAGCTTGAACAACAATACCAAAATTGTCAAAATATAGTAAGTTTTCTTTAATTACATTATTCAAGAAGTATTTGTAATAATCTAAATCTATATAGGTTTATGCATTTTCTAATCTAGTAAACCTCCTTACCTGGTCAAGGTATTTCGCTTGGATTTTATGTCTGGCTTTACACATTTTACATGGCTCCTCCCCTTTCTTCAGAAATAGTAACTGATTGACAACAACATTGTGTGTATCAATGCCATATTTTGTCAGTTCTTGTACAAGTCTTTCTGTTTCATACAAAGATAAAAATTCTGCTATACATACACAAACAAATGTTGTTTGTTCCTGAAATTAAAGATAGAAAACAAAGTTAATCTTATGCTTCTTATTCACAAACAAAGGTTGTTTATTTGAGTTATTGAAAATAAGAAATGTATACACACATTATTTTTCTTCACATGCAAAGTGAACTAAGTTTTTGACCTTGACCTTTCAAGTAGGGTTTTCTTTCTTGTATATGACACACCTTCTAGTAGTGGTGAATATAATCATGTCAAGTTTCATGGCTAAATTCCTGAGAACTTGAACTAAGTTTTTGACCAAGATATTCACTGTTTAGTTTTTTGGGAATTGTTATCTGCTACGCTATGGTTAAAATGAACTATTCTAGGCTGTTCTAGTCACCAACACGGGGGCAAACAATCAGTCAAGAAGCAAAAATGTAATGAAGGAGATTTTGGGTGTATTTCCATGAAAGGTCACAAGAACTCAAATCTTTTTTTTTTAAATCAATTTCCTTCCTTTTTTATTGTTTTGGTGGATGTACCTTTTTTGTCAGTTTCAGCACAACATTACCAGTGAAGGATAATAAGATTTCAGGATTTCCAAAGCCTTGTGTAGGAACTACAATATATCCCATATCCTGTAAATTTTACATCTATTATCCACATATTTAATATACCTTAAAAGAATTATGATTTCAAATAACCTTAACATATATTAATATCCTGTATCCTAACAATATTAATTAATAAAATGCTTCGCTGGGCGCAGCTTGATACGACCGCAGAGGTCGAACCCTGAACAGTTGGGGCAAGTATGGACACAACATTCAAGCTTGATACAGCTCTGAACTTGGATTGTGATTAAATATTTGACACAGCATAGGTTTCTGACACAGAAAGAATGTGGTCTAAGAACTTCAATTTTTTTAATTTACCTATTATGGTCCAATGTCCAAAATCAAAATACATGGTTAGATTCAGCATATCAAAGAACCCCATATATTCAATTTTTGTTGAAATCAAACAAAGTTTAATTTTGGACCCCAACTTGGACAAACTTGAAAACTGGTCCCATAATCAAAAATCTAAACACATGTTTAGATTCAGCATATCAAAGTACCCGAAGAATTCAATTTTTGTTAAAATCAAACTAAGTTTAATTTTGGACCCTTTGGACCTTAATGTAGACAAATTTAAAAAACGGGACCCAAAATTAAAAATCTAAAAACACAGTTAGATTTGGCATATCAAAGAACCCCAATAATTCAATTTTTGATGAAATCAAACAAAGTTTAATTTTGGACCCTTTTGACCTCAATATGAACCAATTTGATAGCGGGCCCACAAATAAAAAATCTAAATACATGGTAAGATTCAGCATATGAAAGAACCCCATATATTCAATTTTTGTTGAAATCAAACAAAGTTTAATTTTGGACCCCAATTTGGACCAACTTGAAAACTGGGCCAAAAATCTAAAATCTAAATACATGTTTAGATTCAGCATATCAAAGAACCCCATATATTCAATTTTTGTTGAAATCAAACAAAGTTTAATTTTGGACCCCAACTTGGACCAACTTGAAAACTGGTCCCGTAATCAAAAATCTAAACACATGTTTAGATACAGCATATCAAAGAACCCCAAAAATTCAATTTTTATTAAAATCAAACTAAGTTTAATTTTGGACCCTTTGGACATTAATGTAGACCAATTTAAAAAACAGGACCCAAAATTAAAAATCTAAATACACGGTTAGATTTGGCATATCAAAGAACCCCAATAATTCAATTTTTGATGAAATCAAACAAAGTTTAATTTTGGACCCTTTTGACCTCAATATGAACCAATTTGATAGCGGGCCCACAAATAAAAAATCTAAATACATGGTAAGATTCAGCATATCAAAGAACCCCATATATTCAATTTTTGTTGAAATCAAACAAAGTTTAATTTTGGACCCCAATTTGGACCAACTTGAAAACTGGGCCAAAAATCTAAAATCTAAATACATGTTTAGATTCAGCATATCAAAGAACCCCATATATTCAATTTTTGTTGAAATCAAACAAAGTTTAATTTTGGACCCCAACTTGGACCAACTTGAAAACTGGGCCCATAATCAAAAATCTAAACACATGTTTAGATTCAGCATATCAAAGAACCCTAAGAATTCAATTTTTGTTAAAATCAAACTAAGTTTAATTTTGGACCCTTTGGACCTTAATGTAGACAAATTTAAAAAACGGGACCCAAAATTAAAAATCTAAATACACGGTTAGATTCGGCATATCAAAGAACCCCAATAATTCAATTTTTGATGAAATCAAACAAAGTTTAATTTTGGACCCTTTGGACCTCAATGTGGACCAATTTAAAAACGGGGCCCAAAATCCAAAAACTTAATACACGGTTAGATTCAGCATATTAATGAACCCCAAGAATTCAAGAATAAAACCCCATTGAAATTGATCAAGAAATAAGCAATTTATACGAAGTATCTTCTTTTGCACAATACTGTGCAATTGAATATTTCTTGCTATTGCGCAATACTGTACAATTGACAATTTCTTGCTATTGCGCAATATTGTGCTATTGGATATTTCTTGCTATTGCGCAATACTGTTAAATTGAAGATTTCTTGCTATTGCGCAATACTGTGCAATTGAAGATTTCTTGCTATTGTGCAATACTGTGCAATTGAAAATTTCTTGCTATTGCACAATACTTATTATATAATAATTTACACATCCTGTTTGGTGTGTATCTCCTACCATATCATTATTATTTGCTTTTAAATATTAATCAGAAATAACCAACTTAAAATGGAAAATTTTAAAAGAAAAAAAAAAGGAAAAAAAGAAAAAAAAAAAAAAAAAAAAATCCCCCCCTCCAAATTTTTTGAACCCCTTATGATTCATCACCCCCAAACTCAATCCCAGCCTTCCCTTTGTGGTATGGTACTTTGCAGTACAATTTCAGAGAGATCCATACACTTGAACACAAGTTATTGTCTGGAAACTAGAAAAATGCTTATTTTTGGCCCCTTTTTGGCCCCCAATTCCTAAACGTTTCGGGCAATTACCCCCAAACTCAATTCCAGCTTTCCCTTTGTGATATGGAACCTTGTAGTACAATTTCAGAAATATCCAAACACTTACACACAAGTTATTGTCATGAAACTAGAAAAATGCTTGTTTTTTGCCCCTTTTTTGGCCCCTAATTCCTAAAATTTTGAGGCAATTACCCCCAAAATCAATTACAGCCTTCCCTTTGTGATATGGAACCTTGTGGTACAATGTCAGAGAGATCCATACACTTACACACAAGTTATTGTCTGGAAGTTACAAAAATGCTTATTTTGGCCCCTTTTTGGCCCCTAATTCCTTAACTGTTGGTACCATAACCCCCAAAATCAATCCCCACCTTCCTTTCGTGGTATTGAACCTTATGGTAAAATTTCATGGAGATCCATTCACTTAAACTAAAGTTAGAGTGCGAAAACCAATGTGTCTTCGGACGACGCCGGACGACGCCAGACGACGACGACGACGACGACGACGCCGGACGACGACGACGCCAACGTCATACCAATATACGACCAAAAAATTTTTAATTTTTGCGGTCGTATAAAAATAAATGGGGAATGTGTCCATGGGACACAGATGATGCCCCTGCTTGCATATAATGTTATAAAGGGACATATCTCAAGAACTGTAAAAGTGACGCTACCCAAATTTGTACTTGATCTGAGTTGTTTGGTAATAACTATTGTGTATAAGTTTCATAACATTTGGTTCAGGAAAACTGAAGTTACAGAATGGAAACAAAAAATTCAGCAATGTTTCCATTTGTAAAGGGCATAACTCTAGAACTGTTAAAGTGAGGCCACCCAAATACCAATTTTGGGACGGACGGACGGACGGACGGAAGTACAGACGGATAAGGATAAAACTTAATGCCCCCTCTGCTACGACAGGGGCATAAAAATATACAAATATTCAATAAAAAAATGATAAAAGCAGTCAATATTCCATACACCTGAAACCCTTATAAGGCACACTTAAAATGTCAAATTTTCACCTTCCAACTTAAAACGTTCAATATTGGAGGATGGGTTGAGATATAGTTTTGATGATATCTTTCCTTAATAATAGATATGTTAATTTGTATCTAAATTTATCTATAGTAAACACTCACAGCATTTTTGAATTGTTCATTAACTTGACGTATGGTACTCAACATATCTTCCAATTTTCCAGACATTTCATCAGCATTCATGTCCTGCATTCCAACAAATCTGCCCATCTGGAATATTTGAAAAATCACATTGTGTACATTTAGTAGCAAGAAAAAATTAAAATAATCCTAGGGTGCAAAATCAAATATAGTTACACAAAAGTAAAACAATAATCTGGAATGAATCAGCTTGTTAAAATGATTCTTTGGACAATTTTAAGTAAATGTTTGAGAGACTCATAAATACGCTCACAGGTATTGTATCATACATTTCTTTTTAATCAGAAATATAAGTGGTTGTTATTACCAATGGATTGTCATTCTTTTTTCTTATATAAACTCTTTAAGATAGAATATTTAAAATCTTAGAATAAATTCTCCCAATAAAATCAGTCATGCATAATCTTACTTTCAATTCAATTAAGGATTATTTATAGCAATTTATAAAGTGTTAATGACTTCATTTAAAAATTAAATGATTGTTTCAAAGGATTCTTTGTATAAATTATTAGTTATATTAAAGTTTAATAAAATTTCAACTAATTTACTCACAAGAAATACTTAATATGTCCCCTTACAAACTTTTGTCTCACTTTCTATTATACCAAAGCTGAACTCATTTAATAAAGAACAGTAATAAGTTAACAGTGATATTTCTGCAATTAGCAGGTGCCTGTCAATAGTGGCCAGTTATACAGAAGAGTTTATTTACAGAGAAACAGTTTGGGGATTTTGTGACTCGCATAAATCATGAAATTTAATGTCCAATCAAAATTAAATTTGATGTTGGTTTGTTTTATAGGATCTGATTCCTTGAATTACAATGCTCACAAATAAATATTTTGTTCTCTAAACCAAGAAAGCTGACATCCATGAATAGTATATATTAGTTATTTTGATGTCCACGAAAATATCTTTTGCATAATATCTTTTGGAACATCTTTTTTTTCTAAACAAAAAGCCCATATTAAATGGTTACCCTGGGTGTGGCATATGACAAATACAGCATGTAGTCAAAGGAAAGTCAAACAAAAAGTGTTGAAACAATATTGTGTTTTACACAGTAATATGTTGAGCACAGACTTAAATTTTTGAAACCAAATAACCAATTATAGCTCATAAAGTATTAGAGCATTGCAAAAAACATTGACAATAATAAGAACTAAGAACTAAATAAAAACTAGATGTTTCAGAACGACACGAATGGCCCCGTCTCAAAAAGTTTTAAAATCTGCAATTTTAACAACACATGTGGACACAAACATGCATGGATAGTATCCAGCTCTCAAAACCATTACTAGTTTGATGAAAAATTTCCTTGATCAATGAGTAGTTAAATTTCAAACTATCAGCAAACAGGAAGTGGATGAACTGAAGATGTGTTGAAACGACATGAAAATCAGCATATCGGAACAAAACATAAACTTGATCTGTAACTCATCATGGAAGACTCACATATCAAAATTCAGCGCAAAATCTGAAGGCGTATAGAAAAAAAGTCCTTATAACTGTGATTTTCAACAATTTATCAAAGTCCAAAGCCGGTAATTTCGACAAAAATTTGCTGAGTGTAACGAATCTTAAACTTGATCTGTAACTCATCATGGTTAACTCACAAACAAAAAATCAGCCCAATATCTGAAGGCGTTTAGAAAAAAAGTCTGTATAACTGTGATTTTCAATAATTTATCAAAGTCCAAAGCCCGTAATTTCGGCAAAAATTAGCAGAGTGGGAAGAAACTTAAACTTGATCTGTAACTCATCATGGTTAACTCACATACCAAAAATTTGTGACTGGGCAAACAAAATCTCCTAGATTCCTAAGTTCAAAGACTCATAACTCCTACAAAAGTCAACTGATAAAAATTTCTTGTGGATATGCACATCTACATAGCATGTTCTTATTATCTAAAAGTTTCATGAAATTCGGTTTTGTGGTTTCAGAGGAGTTACGATGACAATCCGTTGCGGTAGTATATATTTAAGCCAAAATTCTAAGTTTAAAGGGGCTTAACTCATAGAGAAAAAAAAAGAATCATAATTTCCTGTCAATATGCACATCGACCTAGTATGTCCTTATTTACTACAAAGTTTCATGAAATTCTGTAATGTGGATTCAGAGGAGTTGCGATGACAAACTGTTGCAGTAGAATATTAAGGCAAAATTCAAAGTTCAAAGTGGCATCACTCCTTGAAAAAAAGTTGAACCTAATTAATTTCCTGTCTATATGCACATCTACATAATATGACCTTATCTACAAAGTTTCATGAAATTCTGTTGTGTGGTTTCAGAGGAGTTGAGATGACAAGAACAGGACTGACAGACAGACTGACGGATGGGTCAAAAACATTATACCCTATGGAACTTTGTTCTGTGAGGTATAATTAAGACCACTCAGCCACCAAGGGCACCTATGTACAATGAAAACGTAAAATAAACAAGCATTCTGAGAGTATTGCATAGCAATACATAGTCCCCTACCGATTAAGAATTCCTTGTACTCGAACAAAATGCTAACTTGATTTTTAACTTGTCATGGTGTAAAATATATAACAAATATAAAGTCAATATCTTCAAGCATGACAAAAAAAGTGTTGAAAACTGATTATTTGAGTGAATTTTCTAAGTCCAAGGACCATAACTCTGCCTGAAATCATCAGATCGGAACAAAATCGAACTTGATCTGTAATTTGTCATGATTAAACTATATACCAATTATCAAATCAATATCTTCAAGCAAGGCGAACAAAAGTGTTGAAAACTGATTATTTGAGTGAATATTCTAAGTCCAAGGACCATAACTCTGCACAAAATCATCAGATCGGAACAAAATCGAATTTGACCTGTAATTTGTCATGATAAAACTATATACCAATTATCAAATCAATATTTTCATGCATGACGAAAAAAAGTGAGGAAAACTGATTATTTGAGTGAATTTTCTAAGTCCAAGGACCATAACTCTGCACAAAATCACCAGACCAGAACAAAATTTGATTTTTATCTGTAACTTGTCATGATAAAACTACAAAATATTAAATCAAAACCTTCAAGCATGACAAAAAAAAGTGTGGAAAACTGATTATTTGAGTGAATTTTCTAAGTCCGAGGACCATAACTCTGCATTAAATCATCAGACCCTAACAAAATTCGAACTTGATCTGTAACTTGTCATGATGAAACTATATACCAAATATCAAATCAATATCTTCAAGCACGAAGAACAAGAGGCTCTCAATAGCCTGTGTCGCTCACCTGACTCTACTTTGGTTTTAGAAATCATGTAAAGATAGATAAAAATCATAACAGCTACCCAAATAATGATTGAGGCCAAATTTGGTTTAATATTGGTCCCGTTATTTAATAAAAATATCCTGGTGGCCATCTTGAACAGTAAATCAGCAACAAAGTAGCAACACTTGGTCAGCACCTCATAAGGAACATTCATGCCAAGTTTGGTTTCATTCCATTCAGTGGTTAACTCTAAAAGAAGACATTTGTATGTATTTCCCATAGGGTCCTATGTTAGTCTAAGTCCCCCCTGGCAGCCATCTTGGATGATGGACTGACTGCAAAGTAACAACACTTGGTCAGCACCTCATAAGGAACATTCATGCCATGTTTTGTTTCATTCCATTCACTGGTTCTCTAAAAGAAGACATTTGTATGTATTTCCCATAGGGTCCTATGTGAAACTAAGTCCCCCACTGGTGGCCATCTTGGATGCTGGACCGACTGAAAAGTAACAACATTTGGTCAGCACCTCATAAGGAACATTCATGCCATGTTTGGTTTCATTCCATTCACTGGTTCTCTAAAAGAAGACATTTGTATGTATTTCCCAAAGGGTCCTATGTTAAACTAAGTCACCCGCTGGCGGCCATCTTGGATGATGGACCGACTGCAAAGTAACAACACTTGGTCAGCACCTCATAAGGAACATTCATGCCATGTTTTGTTTCATTCCATTCACTGGTTCTCTAAAAGAAGACATTTGTATGTATTTCCCAAAGGGTCCTATGTTAAACTAAGTCACCCGCTGGCGGCCATCTTGGATGATGGACCGACTGCAAAGTAACAACACTTGGTCAACACCTCATAAGGAACATTCATGCCATGTTTTGTTTCATTCCATTCACTGGTTCTCTAAAAGAAGACATTTGTATGTATTTCCCATAGGGTCCTATGTTAAACTAAGTCCCCCGCTGTCGGCCATCTTGGATGATGGACCGACTGCAAAGTAACAACACTTGGTCAGCACCTCATAAGGAACATTCATGCCATGTTTTGTTTCATTCCATTCAGTGGTTCTCTAAAAGAAGACATTTGTATGTATTTCCCATAGGGTCCTATGTTAAACTAAGTCCCCCACTGGCGGCCATCTTGGATGATGGATCGGCTACAAAGTAACAACACTTGGTCAGCACCTCATAAGGAACATTCATGCCATGTTTGGTTTCAATCCATTCAGTGGTTCTCTAGAAGAAGTTCAAAATGTAAAAAGTTAACGACGACGACGGACGCCAAGTGATGAGAAAAGCTCACTTGGCCCTTTGGGCCAGGTGAGCTAAAAAAAGTGTGAAAAACTGATTTGACAGAGGGACGGACAGACGGACGGACAGACAGACACAGACAGACGTAGTGCAAACCTAAAGTCCCCTTTGACTTTGTCGGTAGGGGACTAACAAGTGATAATTAGATAGCTATGTTTTACCTGACTTTATTTGATAATTACTGACTTAGAAAACATTTGACTACCGGGGAACCTAATCCATGAATAATGATACAAAATCACATATCAAGAGTTAATAAACAAAAGCATAGCTCAAAATGCTTAAAAATTAATAAAAGCATCATTAATCTGCCCTTTTAATGTTCAAAGCAAATAAAGCAATGATATATGTGTTTAATGCTTCTACCAAGTGTAATAAAATGGCTGTAGATTTCTTCAGAATGTAAGGATAAAATTGTTGAGAAATTTGATTACATCTTTAGAAATTGCTATGTTAAGATGTAGTATGCAATTTTATTTTAATTTGATAATGTGTCTTATTTCATAAAAGTGAAAATCAATATTATTAAGGCAAAGTGTACACAATTGGGCTGGTATTTTTAAATTTATGAATTTTGTATGCATTTTAATCTCTTTGAACTGTATCTGAATATAATATAAAATGTATGTAAAAAGCAACTGTAAATATAGATTTTTTTTCACTTCTCAAAATCTTGTCCACAGCATTTCATTAAAAAATTACATATTATTGCTATGAACATTTCTGTAAAATATATGAAATATAAAATGATATAAATCTATAAAGCATCAGTTATTTTTTTCAGTAGAAATGAGATATTTAGAGTGAAAAACGTCCTCGAAAAGACTAATTCAGTGTAACATTGTGCAACTTCACACTTCAAAACCAGAGTGTTCATGTTTTTTTTTATATATCACTCAAACTTAAAACCACAAAAAAAAAGCCAATGACCCAATATCAATTCTATATCTATAAAATAGAAATTTTCATAGCAAAACAATGTAATTTTTTAATTAAATTTTATGCCCAGGTTTTCAAGTTTTCAAGAAAAAATGCATATCAAGGCGTTTTTTACAAACATTCTACACATTTATAACTCTAATTCTCATTTTTTATACTGTTTTTCCCACTGGACTTATAATAAATGCTATATAAATCATTTTTTTTAATATTCAGATGTATTTTATAGAGGTAACAATGCATACAAATTTTTAAAAAGTCTGTAACACCACCTCACTACATATACTTTGCCTTAATATTCACACATTTACCATTTGCATATCTTCCTAGAATTTAAAAAATTGAGAAAAAAACTTTTATTCACTTATTTCATAAAGAAAAAAACTATAATATGTTGCACATTCTACTGAGCAAATATTGCTCCAAAATTAATTCTTTAAAGCTGTTTTTTTTATCTTCAAGTTACTCAGCAAGATCAATGGATTCTACATTAACATCTCATTATAAACATTAATGCAAATTAAGAGCAATATTCCTTTAATTTACTTATGACTTTTGTAACATTTATAATCTTTTCTTCTAAACAGAAGTAGGTCATGAACTGGCAAATATTCAGTATATAATGAGTGAATCAATTATACATAAGTCTCTCTCTCTCATTTCGTTTTATAAATTGGGAGCATAACTGATTTCTGTTTGAATCTTTTTGGAAATTACTAAATTAAAGTTTCTTTCTTGTTCCAGAACATGATATTTAAAAAAAACTTATAGCTGTATGGGTTTTACTCATTCTTGAAGGTCGTACAGTGACCTATAGCTGTTAATTTCTGTGTCATTTGGTCTCTTGTGGAGAGTTGTCTCATTGGTAATCATACCACATCTTCTTATTTTTATAATTATTAAAATGGTAAGTCATTAATTAACACCAATCATACAATTCAATTGTTTTTATGGACTTTTTTTTAGGATTCAATACCACATAAACTTATTAAAAAATCTATCAATATTTTGAATACACTATTTTCTCTTGGGGACTTAATACTAGAAGGAATAAAATGCTCCGCTGGGCGCAGCTTGATACAACCGCAGAGGTCGAACCCTGAACAGTTGGGGCAAGTATGGACACAACATTCAAGCTTGATACAGCACTAAATTTGGATTGTGATTAAAAATTTGACATAGCATAGGTTTCTGACACAGAATGAATGTGGTCTAAGAACTTAAAAAAATTTAATTTACCTATTCAAACCATATCATTATTATTTGCTTTTATATATAAATCAGAAATAACCAATTTAAAATGGAAAATTTTAAAGAAAAAAAGGAACCCCCTTATGATTCATCACCCCCAAACTCAACCCCAGCCTTCCCTTTGTGGTATGGTACCTTGCAGTACAATATCAGAGAGATCCATACACTTGAACACAAGTCATTGTCTGGAAACTAGAAAAATGCTTGTTTTTTGGCCCCTTTTTGGCCCCAAATTCCTAAACGTTTAAGGCAATTACCCCCAAACTCAATTCCAGCTTTCCCTTTGTGATATGGAACCTTGTTGTACAATTTCATAAAGATTCATACACTTACACACAAGTTATTGTCATGAAACTAGAAAAATGCTTGTTTTTTTGCCCCTTTTTTGGCCCCTAAATTCCTAAAATTTTGAGGCAATTACCCCCAAAATCAATCCCAGCATTCCCTTTGTGATATGGAACCTTGTGGTACAATGTCGGAGAGATCCATACACTAACACACAAGTCATGTCTGGAAGTTACAAAAATGCTTATTTTGGCCCCTAATTCCTTAACTGTTGGTACCATAACCCCCAAAATCAATCCCAACCTTCCTTTTGTGGTATTGAACCTTATGGTTAAATTTCATAGAGATCCATTCACTTAAACTAAAGTTAGAGTGCGGAAACTAATGCATCTTCGGACGATGACGACGACGTCAACATCATACCAATATACGACCACAAAAATTTTTTTGCGGTCGTATAAAAAGCAAGCAGAGTTTGAAATCCTACAGGAAAGGACACCGTAAATTTTTATTTTTTGTTGATTTTCTATGCCCATTAAACCAACAGGATATAATTATTTAGGGTAGACAAAAGCAATGTTTGCTTAAGCTGAGCAGAAATTGATTAATTATATTAAACATCTTGTGATCAGAATATATATTGCATTTATTGCAGCTGTCATGTGATTTTAAATTATAAAATATTCAGTAGGCAACTTTTTCAAGAATTGATGCATTATCTATTTTCCCACATCTCTGTTGAAGCTTATGATTGATTGTTGCTACACATAGCTAATGTCCAGTGGCAAATATTTTGTTCATCTGGAATTCTTCAGGAGGAGGATAAATCAACAATTAAAATAAGTTTATTATTGTATAAAATCAAGTTTAATCATAAATATTTTATCATTTTTACATGATTTATGAGGGATTTTACCATAATATGTTAGCACACATTGCTAGCTAGAATTTGAAAGCAGAATCTTTTCAAGTATATTTCATTTTCAGAATTTCTGCCAATAAACAGTTGACACAGGGATATGTCACACACCTTTTTGTAATTTTGATAGTTTAATGCAAATGTTGAATCTAAATGGCAATATTTAAACATGAAAACTATGCAAAACAGTCAAAGTCAATGTCAATGACTGAAGGTACTGGGCCAAATAACTTACATAGAAATCAGAAATGCCAATGCTTGTAAAACTGCACACCAAATTACCCTTGACTTTACATAAGTGGTTCATTTTAAAATAACCTAAACACAAACTTCAACTTGTAAACTATGTAAAAGTTTTAAAGTCGGTGAACCATAATGAAGGGTCGTGCCATATAATCTCCATGGAAATTAGACTTTCACATATATATAAATTATGCAAAACATTCAAAATCAATAGACCTTGACTGTAGGGACAGAGTCAAATAATTTTCATGGAAATGAGATATGCCAATGCCAAAACATCTGCATACCAAATATCATTGACATACATGTACCACTTATGGTTCCCCTTTAACTGACCTAATCACAAACTAATAAATGTAAACTAAGCAAAAGTTGCAAAGTCAAAAGACAGAGGCAGAACCAAATAATCTCATGGTAATGAGATGTGCAAAAGCTAATTCAAATGTTTACAAAAAATCATTGACCTACCACTAGTGGTTCCCTATAAATTGACTTAATCACAAACTAATACATTGTTGACTCCACCACTGCCACAAGAAACAGCATGCCTAAATCTCGCTTTTTCCAAGGCAAGACAAAAATGTTTTAAAGCATTCTTTTTTCTGTTTTTTTTTTCTTTTTGTAAAACGAAAGTAAGTGATTAACACACGATATGCTGGTATTGTAGTTAAGAAGGTAAGGCAGAGAAACTTAAAAAGGTACAGCCTAAAACTATCATGTTCACTTGATCTGTGATGACCAGAAATTGATCTGAAAAGTAAGTATCAAAAGGTATGACTGCTCTGATTGTTTCCCTTATATCTTTTACGGTAAAAGTTGTTAATAGTAAATCACATCATGCTTTGTATGCTTACTTCTTCTCTATATATTAGCTATCATACATGCTACTGCATACAGAATATACCATATTCCTGTTTTTCACACTATTTAAAAAATCATAAACCACTATTATTGTGACTATATGTATATATAAATATACAATATTAGGTCAATGTAAAGAAAATATCAATTTTTGTACGAGGATGAGAAACTGGGGAAGTGTGAGGCTTACCGAGCCCGTCAACAATTTTGTGCTGAATACAAAAAGTTGATATTTTTCTGACATTGCAGACCTAATTTATTTTTTTATGCTGCAGCTAACAATGGCTAAAATTATAGCAATGAAAATGTTAACACAGAAAAATAACTTATTTTCTATCCCTAAACGAGTCCCAAATTGTTAGGAAAAGTGACGTGACACCAAATGACATTACATGAAATATCCCTTTGTTACTATATTTGGTAAATAATGACATCAGGAAGTGTTCTAGCTGCAGTATAAACTAATATAATTTTTTAATGGCCTGTACACATTAAGGTGAGGATACCCAAATTGTACCTATTTTGACATTTTTTTCACCTACGTTTATCTATGATCCAGACAAAAGTTTCCATTCTGTGTTTATTTTGTAGATGTATCCTTATTTACTATATAGTTCCACAAATTAAATTTTGAATCCATATGGAATCATAGAAAAATGGGTTTTAACCTAACTCCAAACGACCCAAAATTCTGTAATGAGTACTCAAATTGCATCCATGCTTACTTTAAGATAACATCCGTTAAAATAAAAAAACCTGATGTTTTGTTTTATTTCTCCAAATATTTAGAACAATTTGACAATAGTCCATGCTTACTATTCATTTTTTAAGAAATGGATACCTGTAACATATTTTGATTGCTCATTTTTAAAAGTTGACTTTTTATGGACGTCGCATGGCGTTGTTTTCGTAGATTTTACTTTTTCCAGTGAATACTTCATATGCTGATATATACAGTGAACATTTTGTGTGTATTTAAATATATTGAGATATGTTAAAAGACGTACATTGTGTCAAATCATAAAAATGCAAATTGTTTAGTCTCTAAGAAAACTTGTAATATTTCCTCTGCTATTTTTGCTAAATAGGTGCAATTTGGGTACTCAGTTCAATTTGGGTACTGTGTGATGTTACACAAGCTATTATAATTGATAAACAAAGTTGTACATACCTGTGATATAAATGGACCAATCTGATTTTTTAATCTCATTATTTTTCCTAATCCTTTTTCTACCACACTTGGAAATGAGAGCAATCTTAATGTATGTCCTGTGGGTGCTGTGTCAAATACAACACAAGAGAAGTTCATTCCTCGTACCAATCTTAAACAAAATTCAGTGAAATATAAACCCTATATACAACAGTTGAACATCTTAGTTAAAACTCATTTGAGTTGAAAAACTTGGATAAGTCAAGGAATTTTGTCAGAACCAGTAAAATTCATGTTTGTTCAATGCATTTATATCTCTGATGAGTCTAACTCCATTGACTCGAAATCTCAGTTAACTCAAGTATATTTTTAAGTCCCCTCAAAGAAAAATTAACATGGGTTAAAGTACATTTCTAAGAAATTTCATGGTCGAAAAAGGTTTGACTGTGGAATGTTGTAAGCCTTTCCTTAATTCCCTTCCGCTTTCTTTTATTATATCTGAATATACAAGTGTTCCTCATTTCAGACCTTAACAATTCTCTCCCATACAGATGAGGGATTGTATACATACATTAAATAAAGCAATAGCCCTTGAAGATTTTTCCAATTTGATCACTCCTTCACTCCTTTCATGACATCAAAAGAACAATGCATGCATATTTGTTATAAATGTCTCTATTAATTTTTTTCATCTTAGTAATTCAAAAATATAAAAAAATTAATCTTTCAGAAAAGTTCCTACATTACTAAATCATGGGAACTATGTGGTTCAACTAAAAAGTCATAAAATTACTTCATCACTTCAGCAAAACTCATTGCCTCATCAATACCAGGGAATGCACTAAGTAATTCTGAGGCCATGGCTTTACCCATTGACAACGTATCTGAAAAATACAGTAATTCTATTAGATATTTTGTATGCCCTCGGTAAGCTTTTGCAAAATACATAAGTGCTTGTTATTTATTTAATTGTATGTCCTGATGTTGTAATTCATAAAAGACAGGAAAATAGTTGATTGATTAATTGCTGGTAAACATACAGTGAACTATAATGCTTATGTCATTTAGTCTTTGGTGGATAGTTGTCTCATTAACAATCATACCACATCTCCTTATCTATATAAAAAAAACACAACAGAAGTAGGTAATAGATAAATACTCCATTTGATCTTATTGATATTATAATGCAAATATTGAATCCAAATGGGAATATCTAAACATGTAAACTATGCAAAAAATTCAAAGTCAACGAACCATGACTTTGGGTGCGGGACCAAATAACCATAAAAATGAGAAATGCCAACGCTTGTAAAACTGCATACCAAATACCATTGACTTATCATAAGTGGTTTACCTTACATTAACTCTAAGCACAAACTTTATCTTGTAAACAATTTAAAAGTTTAAGTCAATGAAGCATGATGAGAGGGTGGGGCCATATAATCTCCATGGAAAAGAGACTTGCAAATGCTATACAACTGCATACCAAATATCATTGACTTAACATTATTGGTTCCTCTTAAACTGATTTAATCACAAACTTTAACATGTATGAAAACTATGCAAATATTTCAAAGTCAATAGACCATGACTGAGGCCAAATAATCTCCATGGAAATGAGATGTGCCAATACTGATACAACTGCATACCAAATATCATTGACCTACCACTAGTGGTTCCCCATAAACTGACCTAATCACAAACTAATACATTGTTGACGCTGCTGCCGACACCGGAAACAGCATACCTGTCGTGCTTTTTGACTCTGTCAAGGCCAGACAAAAATCTATGTCACAGCAGTCTTTTTACATGTATAATTTATATAATTAACATGTTTATGAATTTAGTATAAAGTTCCATTTTGAAACCACATCTTCTTCACATTAAATTATCTTTAATCTAAACCTTTATACTGAAATGCTCAAAACTTAATATTTTGGGTTAAAACCATGATTTCTTTTACCTGAATAATGCAAAAGAAATCTGTGAACCTGAACAGCTTTGTAAATTATATCATAATAGAGTTATTTCCTGCCAAGTTATCTAACATATATCTCGATGTGCCCTGTGGTTGTATAAATTTTTTGTTTTGATTTACGCACGCTTCAGTGTGATTGTCAGGCTAAATTATGACAGTAAATGTTTGATTTATTTGCTAGATTAATTTTTTTGATATTACTCCCATGGCTTTGTTCTTCAATTTACAGTTGTGGCACGCCGCATGATCATCAGTTTGCAAAGAATTCCCCTCAAACCAGTGGTAGGGGCCGGGCCATCTTAAACTTGCAGTAAGGTGAGAGTTTTTTTGCTCTGTGTTGAAGGTCTCACTGTTACTTTGAGATGAAGAACAGCAATAACAGCACTGTTCCTTTGCTTTTTGTGTCTTTTGCTGTGCATGTACTAACTTTGTGTCATGGATGGATACCACATATCCTTTCTTTTCCATGAAATGGCAACATATTGTTCACATCACAAACAAGGATTTAAGAGTGATGTACATGTATATCACTAGTGTTTATACAGTCAATAAAATTTGAAAAATATTATCTTAGTCATACATTTTTGTACATGGATATACATATGTATGAAATATTCATCATCTTATTTACAACACTTACCTTGTTCAAAATATTCTTCTGGTAATTCTGAAAAACCTAAATTTGGATCTATTTCCTAAAAGAAAAACAAATGTAAACAACGTCAAATTGGAATGGATATATAAATTTTCAAATAAAGTTGACAACACAAATTTTATGGAATTGTGAATATGGACCATAGTTGAGATCTAGACTCAGGGTTGGCAAAAACCCAGGTATGAGTATTGCCCAGCCCAGTGGGAAATACTGGCAAAACCCGGGTTTTACCAGGTAATACTGGGTAATATGAAATACTGGCCTGAATTTTAAAGCCAATTCAGTGATTAATCACAAATGCAATACATTAAAGATATTTATAACAAGAATGGACATGCTGAAATGTCTCGCCTGTTTTACTTATCACTGAATTCATGTTGAAAGTCTGTAATATGAATGTTTTACTACAAGTATCACATAAACTTAACATTATCAATGTTCTATGAAAATGAGGTCACAGTCAGATGAACCATGCAAGATAGACCTGTACACCTTACAATCATTCCATAGTCAATACACCAAATATAGTGGTCATATTGCTAATAGTACATGAGAAACAGATCAAACCACAAAATCTTAACAATGACCAATGAGGCAATGACCCATGAAAATGAGGTCAAGGTCATATGAACTTTGCTAGACAAACATGAATACCTTTCAATCATTCCATACACCAAATATAATTGACCTATTGCTTATAGTATCTGATAAACTGACAAAATTATGAAAACTTTAAGTGTCATTGACCAATGAACCATGAAAATGAGGTCAAGGTCAAATGCCTGCCAGACAGACATGTACACCTCACAATTGTTCCAACCACTAAATATAATTGACCTATTGCTTATAATATCTGAGAAATAGAACAAACCACAAAAACTAAAAATTGTCCAATGAACCATGAAATGAGGTCAAGGTCAGATGAAACCTACCAGACGGACATGTACACCTTACAATCATTCCATACACCAAATATAGTTGACCTATTGCTAATAGTATCTGAAATACTAACTTGACCACGTAACTTTAACCTTGATCACTGATCAACGGCGAGACAAAAATAAGACATAGTATCTTAATTTATAAGTTCACTTGCTCATGTTGCTTGAGACTCTTATTATATAAGTGTATAAATCTGAGAAAGTATTGTTTCGACAACTCTAAGAGAACTGTACATGAAGACACATAGGACATATGTGAAAAGCTTTTCTCTATAATCCTCCTAAAAATCTTTTAAATCGCCATTCTGTCTAGATTGGTCAAACTGTTAACCTAAAGCAAAACAAAAAAACACTTGTAATAAAAGAAAATTTAATATATGATTCTGACTGAAATTAAATGATGCTTCAATATGATGGAGCAGTACATTACCGGCAGCATCTCTACAACTAGACACCCCCTCCCCCCTTTTTCAAAAAAAAAATTCTTTCCCTCAAGATATGGTCATAATCTCAATTCAAATTTCTAATGGAGTTTGCAACCATAATTACCCATTTAAATACATCATAAAAGTCTTAAAATAGAAAATGACATACATAATCATGGCTAAAATTAATATTCCTTAATCAGCATTTTTAAATAGTAACTTCTAAAAATAAATTGACAGCTAATCACCTCGACAATACAACATTTCTTTATACATAATTTAAAAGCAGTATAAGGGAGGTAATCCAAACTTTACATTGTACTTTTTTTTAATTGTCCATTAACCAGGAAACCCTTGTTTTTTCCCCCTTTTTCCTAAACGGTTGGACCCATAACCCCCCCAAAGCCAATTCTCACCATCCCTTTGTGGTATGGAAACTTGTGGTATAATTTCAGAGAGATCCATACACCGTTCCACAAGTTATTGTCTGGAAACTAGAAAAATGCTTATTTGGGCCCCTTTTTGGCCCCTAATTCCTAAACTGTTAGGACTATATAACCCCCAAAATCAATTCCAACCTTCCTTTTGTGGTTATAAACCTTGTAAAAAATCATATTTTATAAAAAAAATAAAACATTGCAAAGAGCATACTCCTGATGCAGACTCTGGCTCTATCTAATAAAATAATTAAACTTTCAAGTAATATCAACACTACTCTCCCATTCCATACTACAGTTGTACCTAGGTTTATTATTGTTTACTGATAATGTACATGTAACTATATGTAATTGTCTTGCCTTTTCAGATGTAACTATAGACTAATTACCAGAATCTTAGCATATAACCATGATAATAGTTTAGTTTAAATATATTTTATTGTTCAAAATGACAAATGGATCAGACACAAGTTTTACAACTTAGTAACGTCTTCTATTTGATATGCTATTGATACATTTTTTTTTGCAATTGGCACTAAACACATTACAAAAAAAATACCTTGAACATAACCAACTATGAAAAATCACAGAAATTATTGTGCATGCTCCTTACCATTGCAAACAAATTCGTGAATCCATTGACTGGACCTGGCACTTTCGAGAATTTCTGATTGAAGGCATCAGAAATATTGTGTGCTGGATCAGTTGAAATGATCAGGACTGTTTCTCTCTTTTTAGCCAGCTGGACAGATAGACAACAACTGAAAAAGAAAACTTGGTTCCATATCAAAAGTTTAAAATATAAATGACCCTATAGATATGTTCAGTAAGATCATTTCGTAATTCTCATTTAGTCCGAAAGACTTTTTAAAATTTCAATATGTATATATATTATCGTTGTTCCCACTGTCCATATCACTCTGCTCAGCTCTTCATAAAATTGCTTATCAAGGCTTTGAGACGTCAAATACGTTAACCCAGCCTTGATAACTTTGACCTAGACATATCAAGTCATCTGGTTTGCTGATGAAACAAAGAAAAACATTTATTTCTATCATGCAAAAATACACAAATATAATCCAATAAATCAATTATCATATTTTTATCATATTTATATTGTAAAATATCAGCTGCTCGACCTGATAATCGGTACTTATAATAACAAGTATAAAAATTGTGTAAGCAGGGTTCTCACTAAGACGAGTCCATCAGTTCTGGACTCATGATAGTTTGACTTGACCCATCATTTTCTGATCTTGTGAGTTCAAAGATGCATCAAGATTGGGTAGGAAGGTAGGGTTTTTATAACTTTACTAGCTTGACACTAACTTCATTTTAAATTATAGAATTACTGGTGTATTAGAGCTTTTTCGTCTGCTTTAAAATAACTTAGACAGGTGGTCCCAAAACCGGCAAAATTACGGTATTGAACGGCACATAGTCATCAATATTATGATGGAGTGCGGAAACTAGAAGAAGAAAATATTGTACTATTATGGTAAGTCGCGAACATTCACGGTAATCACCTTGTTGTTGTTTTTCCCACACCACCTTTTCCACCGACGAATACCCATTTCAGGGAAGCTTGATCTACTATATTTTTAAGTGAAGGATCCAGCTGTTCAAACTCGTCATCTAGATCTTTTAAGTTTGCCATTTTTTTGTGCCTTCTGGTTATACCAAGTATTACTTCCGGTTTCGAGACCAGCGACTTCTATCGGTCTTCATTTCAAACACAGGTTCAGGTCCGTTCACGCCCAATACACTTTCGCACCCTACACGTTCGCACCCCACACGTTCGCCCCCTAGGTCCGTTCGCACCCTACACGTTCGCACCCAATTCTTATTCAAATTCAAGTTGAATAATTAGAAAAAAATTTATATGTATATACCAAAAAAAATATATTTTCATGAATAAAAATTGGGGAATTATTATATGAATGTTTTTTTTTTTTTCATCAATTTGATGATTAATTATTAAATGTTAATTATGTACAAATGTATGATTACTGCTAATTGGTATTTATACACAGCTAAATTTGGTATTATTGTTGTGTGTTTGAAAATCATGATTGTTGTTTTAACTTGCTTTGATGTAAATAAGATTGAGAATGGAAATGGGGAATATGTCAAAGAGACAACAACCCGACCAAAGAGCAGAGAACAGCAGAAGGCCACCAATGGGTCTTCAATGCAGCGAGAAAATCCCGCACCCGGAGGTGGTCCTCAGCTGGCCCCTAAATAAAATTATGTGCTAGTTCAGTGAAAATGGACGTCACACTAAACTTCAAAACATATAAATGAACTAAAATTAAAAAAACATACAAGACTAACAAAGGCCAGAGGCTCCTGACTTGGGACAGGCGCAAAAATGCGGTGGGGTTAAACATGTTTTGTGAGATCTCAACCCTCCCCCTATACCTCTAGTCAATGTAGAAAAAAGAAACACATAGCAATACGCACAGTAAAACTCAGTTTAAAAGAATACTGCATATATTTAGCCTTGGACACGCCGAGACTTTCACGAGAGAAGACGCACCTGTTACAGCACCAGCAAATCTTTTAGATTTTAGAGTTCACATAGTTTTCACATCACTTTTATTGTACAAAGACATTGTTTTAATGATTATCGAGTGACACATAAACAATTTCATTAAAGTGAACAAATTTAGAACTTTATTTGTGGAAATACAAAAAATATCCGTGGAATCTTTCCCGCGATAGCCATTTTCTTTTTTTTCCCTCGTCTCCATGTACAAGACCCAAATAGCATTTAATATATAGCTGCCTTTTAGACATTTAAGAAGCTTTTTATGTGGTTTTAGATATTAACATTTCATTAATTGCTGCTTGCTGACATCAATATAATTTATGTCCGAGAATAAACTTTGGAAATTTCTCAATAGACCGGCTAGTTCACAACCACCAACTCCATGCAGTTACACACCCATTTTATTATCTGACAGTAAAGGAAATTACTTAAAGAATTCCTTGGAAATACAGTTGTTGACAACAAAGTAAAATTTTGGTGCAGAAGTGGCTCAACTGTTGAAAAATCATACAACTGGCTCAAAGAAAACATAGAAAATAAAATCCTTATCCACGGTAAACTATGGATATATCTTTGGTTGGGAACCTGTAATATTACAACAAAAGATGGGAATTGCATCACCATAAGCTCAGAAGATAACCAAGCTGTTTTAAATATCACACACTATTTTCAAGAATTCTCAACATTAATTCAGAAGTATCCTGAATGCAAAATAACATTTTTAGAAATTCCAGTCTTCTCAATTGAGTCCTTCAACAAATCACGAAATCGCCCAGACCCAAAAATATTCAAGAACCAGGACCTTAAACTTCAAGACCAAATCTATGAGCTCAATTCTTGTATTCGTTATACTAATTCAACTATAAATTCACATTCACCTCAATTCTCATGTGATTCATATCGTCGATCAAATTACAGACGAGGAAACAACCACCGTAACCCTGCAGCTAGGGCATTCTATAACTTTTATCTCTACCTGGACGGTATACACCCAGAAAGAATTTTGGCACAAGTTTGGCTCCGTAAAATACTTAAACAAATGAAAACTGACTGCTGGTAAATAAGCAGAGACTAAATGACAACTCACATATATTCTAAATAGCACAGCACATAACCTGCTCAAGTTCTCTGTTGGACCAAGTCAGTGTGGGTTTTTCTACGCTATACTAGGTTGGCAGCTGGACTTGATGAAAACTACATAAAACCAACCACAATATCCTTTATATTTTACCATAATAACGTCCTCGGAGCTCTGTCGAACCAAGTCAGTGTGGGTTTTTCTACGCTATACTAGGTTGGCAGTAGCACCTAATAGTAAAGAACTTAAGACAACAGCTTTAATATCCATTTGAATAATACACCATATCAGGACCGCAGGGGATCTGTAGGACCTAGTCAGTGTGGGCTTTTCTACGCTATACTAGGTTTACAGTAAAATATCAATCATGCTTACCAGACGCCATGCTTCAGCTAGCAACATCCCGCACATGCCTAACCCCCCACTCAAATTCCATCTCATCTACAGCACCAATACAAAAACAATACAATCTTAATAAAGGAAGAGCATTACAAAAGAAGAGTGAAAACTCCAACAGACAACATCTAATTGCAGAACTTAAACCAGGAAAAAATTTAGTTATCTCACTCAGCACTGCTGCCTATGAGCTTGCACAACAAATTATACCTTTAATTCTCACAAGCCATATGGAAACCTTCTCAACTGAAGAACGTAATGCTGTGGATAACAAAGGGGTCAGTGTTGATAAGATGTACCAAGTGTTCAATAAAAAGTTAGATGGCTCCAAAGGAAAACAAAAGTAATTTACTATAAATGTTTACCATACATCTTCACAATTACTTATAAATGGGGCTCACATTGACATCTTTGTGAAAGAAATTTACTCTCAGCTATGTAATGAAATAAAACAGAAACATCATGATTTAGATATTATTAACAACAATATCCTTGAAACTTTGGAAAATTTGGAATTAAAACAAAAGTCATCTTTAAATTTACATACTTTGGACCACAATGAAACTTTGGAAACTTGGAATAAAAACAAAAGTCATCTTTAAACTTACATACTATGGACCAAAATGAAAACAATACATCTCAAGAGTTGGAAACTTTACAAATAAAACAGAAAATTTCTAGAAATGACCATCTAGTAAACAATGAATCTATACAAGAAACATCTCTTCAAAGTATAGATCTGTGCCCAATGTGCCAACAACCCTCGCATAATGATACAATAGGATGTAGTGAATGCAGCCTTTGGCTACACTTTACATGTGCTGGAATCTCAGACAAAAATCTGCCAACATTTAGACAAAATGATTTCATATGCCGCATATGTAGTGAAAACCTACTTTACCACACACATCAGAAAGATAATGAGCATGATCACCAACATAATGAGAGCCTCATTATAGTAAAAACACTGCATAATAACAGTGAACTAAACTCTACCAATACTGAAACTGATAATATTGTAATAGGTCCAACAGCAATAGATCCACCAATCAGGAAACAAACTCCAGAACAAGAGGTTCAACCTATCGAAAATCATGAGATCTATGAAATAAATACATTAAATACAACAACTCTAAATGTTGAACAAAGAGGAATTCAACAAGAAGTAAATGATCTTCCCAAAATAAAAGGGAAAAAACAAGAGACAAAATCTAAGGCCAAAGAAGAAATCAGTCTAGATAAGGCATGCATCTCACAATTAGAGACACAAATTGAAAGGCTTACCTCTACGGTACAGATTCTACAAAAATCACAAAATTTGGGCAGACAACAAAATAACCATTGGTCTGAGCCTCCAAACATACAGCAAGATCAGTCTCCAATAAATAGTGCTCAAAACCAGCATCTTCACAACTTCTGTAGCCAACTTATTGAACAAAAATTAAATGAGCACAGAATTAGAAATTTAGAACTACAAATGCTTCAAAATATGCAAACTATGCAAGCTCAATATCAACAATTAATGATGCAATTTCAGAACCATCAACACCATCAACCTTATCTATCACCAAAACTTCCTGGACCTCCTCAATACCATCATTCAGCCTACACACAAATACCACATCCAGCTGGTCTTCAAATGTATTTACCACAAAACCGTCAATATGTAAATACCAACCTCATGTATAGACAGGCACCAGCATATAACAGACCAACAATCCCAGCTCAGCAGCGATACCATCCAACACATGTGAATCAAAATACATATGTGGAACAACCAACACAACCCAATGTAACAACAGGGTTACCCTATGGTTATCAACAAACATTGCCTATAAACAACCGATACCCAAGTTCTCAGAACCAGATTCATAATAGACCCTCAAAATCAAACTCCTCTGAAACAACCAGAGTTGGCAAGCATACTAAACAAAATGCACCAACATATGAAAACAACCCTATCACATCAAAGGGTGAAGATAATAGACAAAAAAACAGCAACACAGACATATCCAGCAAAGGCCAAATTTGATAGAAGCTAAATCCAAATGTCCACCTCGACCTACACAACCGCATCAGGGTATATCCCATGACATGGACAATACAAAATTGAATCCAATCCAAATAACAAGCTAGGAGCAAAATATAGTACCGACTCCTAACATAGATCAAGAACCTCAGAACTGTTTTTTTATACCACGCTCAAATCCATCAAGATCCTCCAGACAGAGCATTACTCAACCTAGAAAATCAGTCTCGTCTCTCACAGTAGCAACATGCAATATTGAAGGGGTCAAATCAAACAGTAAATATCTTAACGTCCTATGTAAAAAGTTTGATATCATATGCTTTCAGGAACATTGGCTCTACAGCTTCCAACAACATGAACTAGACCAATATCTACCAAATAAACACTCAACTGCTCGTAGTGTTGACTCTGTTGATGCTATTTCATCTATAAATCTACCTAGAGGAAAAGGAGGGGTCTCAATATCATGGCCTACAAATATCTCACATCTAGTAAAGAAGTTAAATGATGGAAATGAAAGAATTGTAGCTATTGGAATGAATACAGAAACAAAACTCTGCATCATCTGTACCTACTTGCCAACTCATAATCCCTCAATAAACTCCATAGATGAGTATTCAGACTGCCTTGATATTCTTTTCAACATCATATTAAAATTTAGTGATACACAT